CAACTTGCTATGTATCAACTAGTTGTAGACCTTCCGGAATGCTAGATAATTTTAATAACTGTCATCGAACGTTGAAACTTGAACTGCGGTAGTCGTACTTTGTTTCCGAAAGACTGTCATGTCGAAGAACGTCTGTCCTTGTTTGTGTCTTTCCAAGGACTTCAACGTTGCAACGTTGTTGACAAGATGCAGCTTTGGATTAACATTGTTTGTTTCTCCATTGCTCTACTTTGGTACTTCAGCCTATTTGGCTAGTTAATGGCATCTTTGTGTGCTATTACCTCACTAGGAAATCTGTCGTTCATCAATTCTCCTTCTAAGGCCTTTCTCTGCTTCAAGAAAGTTGAAAGCATTATGGACTGCGCCTCCAAGTTCCATGAAGCAGTAAAAAGATGTGTACCCTTCATATGATTATGATCATACTCACTCATAGCGCAGCTGCAACGCACTACTGCTCATTCGGTTTCTACATCTTGATCTGGCAAGGCTGAGGAAGCCCTGAAGAAGGCGGACGGACCGCCGAAACGTTGGCTTTTCGTGTAATAAGTCTTGCTACCAACCTTGGTTAACAGCTTTGAAAAACTGTATTTGCAATTTGAATCACAATGCCAAGGTTTATCGACAATCGAGCACGAAGTCTTGTGTACAGTTCGTCAACTCCTGCCAATTTATCTTGTATGGAAGTATTGCATTCCGATGCAGTAACTAAGAAATTGAAGGCCTGATATATGTTTCTGGTTCTTCTTGGGGGAGGGGGGGCTGCTGAGTAAAGAGCAAACCATTGAAAAACTGTATTGAATCCAGCATGTTCTCACTGCTTGTCTGGTTCGTATACGCTTGCACTCTCGTCGGCTGCATGCTTAGCACTGCACCTGTCTGATTTGCTAGAAGAGCTTTGACTGGGCATCGAGCACTTGCAGCTGTAAAGAAGCCGTAGCTGCAGCTTCACAAATATAGGTGATTATCGCACGCAAAGACAGGGCATCACTACGGACGCTGTCGGTGTCTCGCTGATAGAGCGCTTTCTCTTCCCTCTTGCCGCCTGATTTCTCTACCATGCACGAACTATCTTAATCGGACACAATAGCTCACAATAGCGTTCTCTGTGCGTACTGTGAATCGCGTATATGCTATACTAGGTTGGCACGTAAGTTCTGCAACTTTTCTAAAAACTTTTTCCTTATTTTATGTGGTATTCTCCTTCTCTGACACCATATTAAGTGTGATAGAAGCTGGTCTACGCAAGCTTTCAATTTTTGTTAACTTAGTAGAAAAAAGTCAATTTTTTGAAAACTGGTGAAAATCAAGGTTTTACGGTTTTTGGCAAACATGAAGCTGTGCAAAACCTGAATCAAACATATAAAAAAGCAACTATAGGCAGCATGTAGCTAGAAGTGGGCACATTAGAATCAGTAAGAAAGAAATGAAATCAAAAGATAAATCAAGGCACTTTTAAGAAGTTAAACAAGTCAAAAGCGTCGAATTTAGAGGACCATTTGTCAATGACTAAGCTGCGAAAAGTCATAACCCTCTGAAACTTTGCACGTTAGGGTAATCTGTGTGGTGAACACAAAAATCATATTCATTTGCTGCTAAGATAAAAATTTATTTATTGACTTGCGAAAGATTTTTTTCATGCGAAAAGGTCTCAGAAGGTTGTGCGAATTTCACAATTGATAACTCCCTTTGGCTAACCTAACATTTCCTAGATGTAATAATCGCAAAAAATTTCTCTGGCAGTAGGGGCCTCCATGCTTCCAGCAAAGCTCCGTGAGCTTTACATCAGTGCTTGTCTTTGCAGAAGCAGTGTTCTCATCACATTTGAAAACTTTTTAAACTGCAGATCAATTTTTGAGCTAAGAAGTGCCCCTAATTTGAGTCGAGGTGGTGGGTAGATATTCAAGCATGCCAAGCAATACTCCTTCTGTCGCATTTGCAAAGCACCATCAAACGTCCAGATGTACAACATAGGAGCATAGGAGCACGGATCAGCTGATCACTTGTCGACACAACGATTTGTCTAATTTTTGCGGTCATTTGGCGTTTAAGCAAATTTCGTAGAACTTCTTTTTTGGAATTTGATAAATGCTAGTTGCACTGAATATCTCAAGGCTTAAGGGTGCAAGCCCAGATACTGGAAGGTGGCAGGTTTAGTAGAAGGTGGCTGCAAGTTTTGCCCAACCTCGATTTTACCATTTTGTCATTTTTTCCGGACCCCATTCTGTGTGCATGAAACTGCATGATTTTTTACATAGTGCTGAGCAGTGTGATTTGCATGTAATATCGAGATTTGAACACAGAGTAAGATATAGCAAAAATTTGAGTAGCTGCAAACTTCTGGCCAGCACTGTATAATTTTGCACCAGCTGGTCAGGCAGACTCGCACTTTTGCTAATGATTGAACAAAAGCAGCGGGGTTGAGAATGAGATTGGCAGGGCCTGAACCTTTTCGGTGCTTCCTCTGATGGATGCAGGAAAGTTATAGGCTACTGCTTGACGAAGGCGAAATATCTATAGGGGCAACGCGGCTCTATTAGCCGCAGAGCGCATGAGGCACAGGAATCACAACTGTGACGACACGGGCGGCCGCGTTCGCGACCGCGCAACCAATACTACTTGTTCGCCTTCGTCGTGCAGTAGCCTTTAGTCACTAAAAGTTTAGCACGGGTGCTGATTAACGGGTGTTGATTTTTTTCAAGTTAACCAGCAAGCTTGCCGATGGGTTTGAACGCTGTGCTAATCGTTCAGGTTTGAATCCTGCCTAAATTGAGGAACCTTTACTTTTATCAGTATTCTGGGTAGAAACGCCACAAAGTGATCCGTTCGCACCAATTTGGATGAACCAAGTTGGTATACCGTCATGAAACCCGTCATACTTCGCCGAAAAATGCTCGGAAGTTTTCAAATGGGCCCAAAAGAAAGATAACATTGCTGTCGTCAAGGAAGCACTCAATATCTTAAGAGGAGTTCGAGTTGCATGCGCTTGCTTTAACTTTCACCAAGATCAGGAGTACGCAGCCATGCTAGTGAACCCTCGGCATCAATTCCTAGATAAAACAAATGTTTGAATTAGACAAAGAGCTAGTCAGACGAAGCAGATAATCACGAACAATACAAAAACACAATACTGCGCTGGCCAAAAGTCTGCAGCCACTCTGGAATGTTGCTAAAAGATACTCGTTTCGCATATAACCATGAGATGTTGATATTGCGTGCAAATTAAACTGCTTAACACTATGCCAAAAATTTTTTCAGTTTCATGCACACAGAAGGAGCTATGGGGAGAATGGCGAAAACGGTAAAATCGAATTTGGTCAAAAACTTGCAGTTACCTTCTGCTAAACGTCTTTGAAAAACTTATCACCCTCCAGTATTTGGGCTTACAGATGCACCCTAAGCTTCAAGATATGCAGTGGAACCAGCATCCATAAAACTTCAAAAAGGAGACTTTATGGAGCAAATTTGCTTGGACGCCAAATGACCCCAAAAATTGCATAAATCACGAAGTTGTAGAATAACTAGCTGATCTGTGCTTCTGTGGAAAGTTTGTACCACTTGACGTCTGGTGACGGTTTGCGAATGTGGCAGGAAAAGCATTGCATGCTTCAAAACCTACTGCCACCTTATCTCAAATTCGGAACACTTTCCAGCTCAAAATTGCGCCCAGCGGTCTAAGTCTTCAAACTTGGTTTAAATCCTGCTTTTACAAAGACCAGTACTGTTCCGAAGTTCGCGGAGTTTCATTGGAAACATGAAGGCGCCGCTGCCAAGAAAAAGTTTACGCAATTTCCACAACTGATAATCCCTTTTGGCAAGGCGAACACTTCATAAATGTGATAATCGCACAAACTTTTCGTAACAGTAGCGCCTCCATGTGAAGTTCTGCGAACTTCACATGGAGGCGAACCAAGGCTCTTCTCTTGTAATAGCAGAGTTTTCATCAAGTTGAGGACTGTTCAGGCAGCTAAGCTCAATTTTGAGCTGAAACGCGTTCTGAAATTAAGTTAAAGGTGGAGGTAGATTTTGGCATGTCAAGTAATTCTTTTTCTGTCACCGCAAACCACCACTAAACATCAGAATGGTACAACCTTTCCGCAGAAGCACAGATCAGCCAATTATTTCAATACGCTCGTGATTTATCCAACTTTGGGGTCATTTGGCGTCCAAGCAAATTTGCTCCGTAGAGTCTCCTTTTTGAAGTTTGATGGATACTGGTTGCACTGCATATTTCAAAGCTTAGGGTGTATCTGTAGCTGGATACAAATACTGGAAGGTGACAAGTCCTCCAAAGACGTGTCGCAGAAGGTGGCTGCAAGTTTTTGGCCAACTTCCACTTCATTGTTCCCGCCATTTTCCGGCGGCCTCTTCTAGAGCATAAAACTGCGAAATTTTTGGGCATTGTGTTGAGCAATGTAATTTGTAGCAACATTTATAGCGGAATTCCAGGATGGCTGCAAATTTTTGTCCAGCAGTGTAGTTGGGTTGTATGCAAAGCAAAATACAGTGCAGTTTCCTAGAAACTACAGTTGACTATCAACAGTGGATAATGCGGAACAGCCGCTGGCGATTGTGGTGGTATTGAGTCAGCACCAGAACTGCCCTTATATGCATTCAGGTCCACGGGGGGAAGATAACCTAAATGCTCACCTCTAACAAACAACAGTATCATAAAGAATGAATGATTGCCCACATGAAAGCAGGCGCCGCCAAATAGACAGTAAACTATCAAGCACAGGGAAGGGTTGAACTGGCTGCTGAAGTGATCAGTGAACAGCAGAGAGCTTGTCAGCGACAAGCTAATAGATGTGAAATGTATTATAGATGATGAATCTATGATGAAGGTTATAGATTAGATAGATAATGTCCGACAATACGACACATACAGACAAACAAACGGAATTTCAGCGTCACATATATGTTTATAAGAATTGATTACATACATATACTTGCAAGAAAGTTCTTTGGATTCAAACGGTATCAATCGCCAAAAGATTACTTACCGCAGTTCTTTTGGTGCATGTGTTGCGTCATATGCAATCTCGTTTACTTCTTCGGGCCGACACCAGTACTGTAAAAAAAGCCATGTGAAGCAATTATTAGTTGCAATAACGCTACATTCATCAAATAATGATTATTAAAGGCAGTGGCTTGGCAAACGAACTCCCGAAATTTTGACATGGAAGGTTTGCTCACCAAAAACGAAAACAAAGCAGTTCCGAGCACATTATATACCCCTGCCTAGAAAACTCCCATTAAGCCCGTCGCAACCCATTCTTACAAGCGCTCGAACGAGTTGCGATATCCCTCACACCATCATATGCTGCATGCCCCAATGCTATGAACATGAGGATCACACACACAATTCTGCGTCTCTAATCATGGCGAGAATTGTTCAAGCATTGAAAATTCAAGATAAGGGTCCTTGTAAATGCTGGGTTTCGCCATTTTAGCTCTTTCCAGGGTGGATTTTTGGAATAAGTGCGTTGAATTACGACAGGTAAGCGAAAAAACTTCAGGTCGAGGACTTGCCGAGCTCCTTTAAGTTTGGTACTGGACTCCGTTGCATGCAGTAATCTATTACGCAAATATGCTGTGCCTTTGTTAATCCACTTATGAATAAACCAGTGTGTCACCTCTGCTTTGCAGAGGCTCGCACTGGTTCTTCTACCTATATGCCACACTCATTCCTGCATTAGTTGGCATTGAAACTTACAGCGCAATGCCCGCCTTTACGAATAAATCGTAAACAGCTACTCATTCCAAAGGCTTTTTCTTGTGGGATCGGTATTTTGCGTGAATGAAATTTTGGAAGATGAAGAACAAATGCAGTTTTAGAACACTTTCAAAGTTTTCATGGCTTGATAATCGCCATAAAGATGATATCCGCCACAAACTACATCCCTGTACAAATCTTCTCAAATGCTTTGGTAAAAACCTTAGCAAATTGAACATTCACGCAATCAGTCCCGTTTGGCGCCGTTTTTGTGGAGTGATAGACTATCATCACTTTTGGGCCAAAGATTTTGATTTGGATATTGACTTACTAAATGTAAGCGTAACTCTGCAAAAAGTGGTAATACGAACCCAATTTTGCACCAGAGGCCAAGTGGCTCCGTTTGACGCGCAGTTCCTGAGGGATATATTCAGCGGATCTGCTGGTGCTTTCGCATGTTGAATTTAGATGTTGGACGTGGTGTGTTGTGCAAAAAATGCGAAACCTTGTCTACGACTCGTTCTATGAATTTCGTTACACACACAATACCAAACACTATAGATTGTCAGCGGGAGGGGTGCAAATGTTGGGTTACCCAGGCAGCCGTCTGGTGCGCAGCCAGCCACCAGAGCTGGCATCAACGCCGTGGCTGAGCTACCTTAAGTGCCTCGTCGTCACAACCTCTCGCAGAGAGATTTTCGCAGCAGTCTCGCACCTCATCGCGCTGAGGTGCTAGATTTCCCCAGAGGTCGCGCTACTGCCGCAGTATATCGACCAAGACAGCAAAAATTTTGTAGTTTGTTAGTAAGACACAATACACAAAATATTAAAAAGCAAAAAAGTTCAAAAAATAAAAAACTGAATGACTATAAAATTGAATCGAAAGTATGATATTATGGAGTAATCCATGAAAATATAAAATAATTAAATCGTATAGAATAAATTATTGAATAGTTTCTCTTGGCACATGACCTTTGAGGCAAAAGAATCTGACCAAGTATGTTAGACATTAGAAAAACCGTGTCACATGTTGAGGTATAAAAGAAGAAATATGTAGAGCAGCTGAGGTTCCAAATGTTTAACTCTCAGCTATACAGTCTTCAGTTATAGCATCTTGCTCAAAATACGTATGTATAAACCTGTCGTTTTTGGAGGTGATTTTTGAATTTGTAATTTTTAGCAAGATACAGTATAAGAAATATACAGAAACAAAAATGTCCGGAAAAATAAAAAACAACAAAAAATCACGGTCAAATTTACATTTCGACTTTTACATTCACACTGCTATCAAATGGTTTTCTCTGTGATGTATTTCGACATTTCAAAACAAAAACTATTTAGAGAATCCGTAGGTGCACATCGATAGTTTATAGAAGGGTGCTTGTTTTTTTGATACATCTTGTTTTTTTGAACATTTTTTGTTTTTGTATTTTTGTACTGTATCTTGCTAATAAAGTACAAATTTGCTGTCTTTATCGATATACAGGGTGTCCCAAAAGTATGTATGCACTGTTTGATCGTTAATATCTCCCTTCCCAAGAAGTCTTTTGCCTTGCTTTAGGTACCGTTTTGTAGAGCTGGCTTCAACTTAGATTTGCAGTATAAAACAAATCACCCATTTCTATTCATTACCGTGGGATTACGGTAGAAACTTGAAACATATGGTGTCAATGTGGAAAAAGCTGCCGTTCCAAAATTTTTCAAAAAAATGTGAAAACTTGTGTATTGGGGTTTTTATGGACGCTGAGTTTAATACTCGACTATTCACAAGATTACGAAGCTTTCTAAACGGTGCAACCGCACTTTTTAGGAACAATGAAAGAAAAGCCGCTATTTTTTACCCGGCATAACTCTTCAATGAAGCATCATAAAAAGTTGGGAACTTTACAGTTTGAATCAACAACTCTAATTAGCCTAGTGTGAAAGGTTTTAGGCTTTGTTTCCTTTCTGAGGCAAAATATGGCCTTTCATGGCTTAAAACCCTCTTTGAAGTTTCTACCGTAATCCTGCAGTAATGAAGAGAGATGGGTGATTCGTTTTATAATGCAAATCTAAGTTGAAGCCAGCTCTACAAAACGGTACCTGAAGTGAGGCAAAAGACTTCTTGGGAAGAGAGATATTAATTATCAAACAGTGCATACATACTTTTAGGACACTCTATATAATTTGTGGCAGTAGCGCGATCTTTGAGGGAATTCTCGCACCTCAGCGAGATGAGGTGCGAGGCAGTCTGCTGCGAAAATCTCTCTGCGAGAGTTGCGGACGACGAGAGCGTCACGGTAGCTCAGCCGCGGCGTTGATGCCAGCTCCGGCGGCTGGCTGAGGCGGCAGGCGGCTGCCTGGGTAACACTTGCTACGCACCCGTTGTCAGCAGTGAGATAAACCGCAGTATACATGACATCTAACAGAAAACACACTTCAGCCAAACTGCAGTAAGATGTATGTTGCTGAAGTAAGTGATGACTTAAGTCGAAACTATAGCCTTTTTCTGAGAAATGCTTTATCGAAATCTACTCGTTCAACTAGTTTATATAAGAGCACTGCTCTGTGGTCGCGAAAAGCGCGAGTGAGCTCGCGTATTGCAGGTTATAAACTTAATTTCTTTCAACAGCGCTCTTGCATTGTTGTTTCCGACGTTTCGGCTGTTTTCAAAAGGCTTTCTGCAGATAAGGATGCCAGATGTGGGATCGTCGTTTCTTACTATGCTCAGCGATATAGTTCAAATTAAAACAGCCAGTAAAAACAAATGATGTGGTGATTTAACATTAGGCTTTTCTAGGAAAACTGATTTGTTTTCAGAAAAGCGAATTCACGTGGAGGTTGGACATGCACAGAGACAAGCTGGCCGCATGTCATATCGGTCTTCAAGAGGTTGACCAAAAAGACTTGGGTCCACAAAGACTTAAAAGCAGAGAACTCGTTTGGTTCAAAAAAGTCATATTGCCTGAATTAGCAGTAAGCAAAAGTATTTTGAATGAAAACAGCGTCAAAAGAAATGAGAAAATAGCTGAATTTTTTAAGATTTTATCGAGAAGATTTTCGCTTATAGGTTTAGCTCGCATAGAGTTGTCATCATGGTGTCAAGCCCAGTCGTAGTAATAGACGTGTACTGGATAGTTTTTTGCAACTTCTTCGTCATGCATGTCTCATTGGATGATTTTATTACTATCTTGACAGTATCATCACGAGCAGTACTTCCAATGCACCATGGGATGAGCGAAAAGTGTTCGGTGATGCGGCAATCACCGAATCTTAGAAAGGGAAAAAAATCTAGTTTATATCCCATTAACGTTTCAATTCCTCCATCGCTTTCATTTGAAAAGAAAAGCTTATTATTAAAGTGCAGGAAAGAGCTGCTCAGACTAAAACTCGGACGAGCGGAGGGCCTTCATGTCTTGTCGGGCGGGCGGCGAGCCTTATGTGGGTGTGGTCTTGTTGCGGGCGAGCGCGTGCCTGATACCAAGCTTGCAGACGGCGGACCTTGCACCAAGAGCGTCGGGTCATCTCTTTGAGCGGAGTAGCGGCGTGTCGACATTATAATACTCCTTATCTCGAATCATTCTACAATTTTCTCATTATTGTGGTGTTCATTTTTGTCAGCGCTGTTTCCATGGCTTGGTGGTCATCATGAGCTGCTAAAGTGATAATGAATCAGCCGTTGTCGAAATCAGGATGGATCACATAAAATTTCTTGAACGTAGTCTTAGAAATAGGAGATGGAAATAGTAGTGTCTGACGCGAAGAGGTGATATTCAATCAAATATTCAGGGACTGACTCGTGACCAATTTCAGATTTCCTATCACCAACTATCCAGCACCAATTTCCTATCTCCGGGAAATGTTCGATGGCAAGAATTGTGCTGTTTCCACAGAGTCTGAGAATTGACAAGTGAAATAAATATGAGATGAATGAAGTCCGGAGTAGTATACGTAGTAAATGAAAGGGATGTATCAGGATACTAGCGGTCCGATGGCTATCAGGTGTGCGAAATGTCATATTGGGTCACTAAAACCTATGACACCCTGCCTGACACCCTGCCCTTGAATGCCTTGAAAGGCCATAAATCTCTTATAATGTTTGGATTAGGAGGTTCTGCTGGAACGCATGGTGCGCATGTGGGTTTGAACGACAGAAATACGATAAATAATAATAGATAATGACTTCAATGTTAAGTGTACTGTCTTAGCTTTAGAAAGTAGAAGATCCGCATGCAAAGCATTGGAAGCGTCATTCATTCTATCAAGGTAGCCCAGAATGAATGGCAAAAATGAACAAGTCTCTATCACAAGTGATCTCATGCCGTTCCTACCGTACTGCCAACTATAACGCCCACGTTATATAAGCAGATCCCTAG